GCATTAGACAAACTTTAAAATTAATGTATAACCTTTCAGAGAGTCTGAGTTAAAGAATGAGTTGCACTCTTGGTGATCCTACAAACTTCTTGAATGATGGGTTACCTCTTATATATTATGATTTATTTAAGAGAAAAAATTCAATAATTTTAGGGATAAATCTCAAAAAACCTGTAAGATCGTCATCAGCGCCACTTGCTAGTTAACATAGGTATATGCGAAAATTATATGATCCAATGATTACCTGGCACTGTGCACGACTAATCACAAAAGTAGTGCGTCTCACTTCCAACTCTGCCATGGCGAATGTCTCAGAGCCAATGTACTCGACCACAAAACTGTTTAACCGATTATTTATTTCAGTAACAATTGTTAACGATACACTTTGGTTGTTTATGTTTCGCCAAGTCGAAGTGATTTCAATTGTGGATGAAGTAAGTGATCTCTTTCGAAATGGCATGACTCGGCATGCGGTTGATTAGTATATAAATTTTTTATTTTTTATTTTTAATTATTAATGCGCGCATTTTTCTTTTGTGTTTAGTTTTGAAAATCGCCGTCTTTATTGTACAACACTTAATATACACAAATTTTGTAATGATTTGTAATTTCAAATATAAACAATAAAATAATTAAAAAATAAAAATAGAAAACCAAACGTACTCATATCTCCACACTCTTGTTGGACTGAAATCGACAGAAATCGACTGAAATTGACTAAAATTGACTGAAATCGTCTGAAATACGCGTGAAATATAAAGCGATTCCATTTGGGTTTCTTTCGTGGATTAATGTATGCACACAATTTAGTATTAAAAAAAATTTGTACGTTTCGAAAGTTTAAAGTTTAACGGAAAATACTTAATTTTATTTAAACGAAAGTTTTCAATAATAATTTTTTATTTGTTTAGAGCCGAACGCATGTAGAGAATATGGTATCTAAATTGTTTCATATTGAGTTTTCTTTTAGTTGGAATTTCACTTTTGTAGCTGGAACCCCGGCGTAATTCTCGTCTAATGCGCAGTAAGACTTTGAGTAATCGGCCATAACTAATTAAGAAATATTACAAATATAATTGGCCTCTTCGATATTCGATTTTAATTAAAATCTGTTAAGAACTAATGCTCCATGGTTCATTAATGTCGCTATACCGTCCGTCAATACTGACGGCTGGTTGAACACACAAACTGCAACAATGCATATGACGTACTTACTCCATTCGAAACAATGTCAATGGACATTGACATATCACAGAGCTAATATCTTCAATCTTGTAAAATTATGCGGATTTGTTTCTCAAACTAAATCGAAACAACAATTGTCTTAGTTAACCTGAATACATAACCACAAAGTAGGAAATATCGGCTACGATAGAACCAAGTAAGTTTCAATTGGGATAAATGACGAAGTAAGTGTTTATAGCAGTTGAAAATAATATAATTTTCTTGAGTTCTCAATAACTTTAAATACAAGATAAAAAGTAATAAATTGTTAGAATATAATTCACAGCTGATACTGCGATAAAGAAACTGAATTGTCATTGTATATATTAGGGTTCCAGAGACTGTCCGATCTACGTGTCGGAGCCACTCAACAATTGCAATGATTAAACACCGTTCATTAACAGCAGATCTACATGGGCCATTACCATAACAATAACCTACACTAGGGAAATGTGATGTGCTGATAAACAATAGACCAAAGCACCTACCCTATTTAATAGCAGACAAATAATAAGTAATATTTAATCTGTCATTCTGCTGACAGCAACAGGCTTGAATAAAGTTTTATAAGGTTACCTAATACTAGTAAATAGTAGTACAGTATAACTTTTTTTAAGCATTTTATACACCTGCCATCTACTTCACTTCAATGAAAGTATAGAAAAATATCAAATATTACTTAATTCATTACACCTGAAACATTATTCATTATCAACAATGCAGAATATTAAAAACTGATTATACAGTTTATGTAGTAGTTATGGACTATAAAGTTCAACATTCCTTCCTTTCAATACATTACTAAAACATTTTTCATGTCAATGATAACTAGACAGATACCTGAACAAATTTACCTTTAACGTAATGTTTAGGAATAATACATAAAAATCAAAAGAACAGTGTAAGCTACCTACATCATCATCATCACCAGCGTTACAGCGTAGGGTGAGCTTTAGCTACATCAATCTGCTATCTCCATTCTGCTTGATCAATCACATTACTGAGTCATCTGCTGCGGTCGTCATACGGTGTGAAATGAAGTATTCGCTTTTGTGGTCTATCATCTGGCATTTTTTAGACGTGTCCGATCCATCTCAAGTACTGTGACTTTGCGAATCTTCACCGTTATAAAGTTCCAGTAGCTTTGCGTTTGTGCGTCGACATCTTTTGCATCGTTTGTTGTAGTTCAGACGGATAGGACCATTAATCTTTTTCAGCAATTTCCTTTCAAAAGTTCTGATTTGATTTTCATCTACCGTCCCATATTCGGCACTGTAACATTATACCGCACGGATCATTGCCTTATAGTAGTTTAGTGCTTCTGATCACGATTTTAGATTTAGAGATTTTCATGTGTCTGTAATAACTTCTGTTACTGCCACAATTTTGTTTTGGATACAAATGGTCATGCCATTGTTGCTATTAATGAGGACACCCATATTTGACGCTTTCAACTTCTTTAAAAGTGAATTTACCAACTTGAATGGGCTCTAAAATTCGGTTGTGCGTGTAAACTTACTAGCTATTCCCTTAGATAGTGATAATTTCTATTAATTTATATACTCACAATATAAGCAATAGAAAAATGATGTCAATTCTATTTTGAACTATTAAGAAAATATAATATTAATAACCTCGAGCAGATATAGAAAAAAGAATACGTAGCTCTACAGGACGTATGATAATATTACCTCTTCAGCTCTCAGCGTCATTCTTCACTTATTGTCGACAGGATTACAGATTGAAGACAGTATCTCAATGTAAGTGCTTCAACTTCAACAGAGTTATTGCTTAAAGTCAGACCCTAGGAGCATAACTCCATTTTCGCTACCCTAATTTATTATTTGGCAGTAAACACTATAACCTGAAATTAAATTCCAATAATTCTTTCACGGTTTATCGTGATGTGAATGAAAAAAAGTATTCAATACAGCCAATTGGGACTATCTTATCTATATGGACGGTTCTATGATGGAATGTGGAGTGAATGCATGAATCAGCTTTCTTCTGAACTGAAATCTTTGAATCTACAAAAATAAAACATTGCTATATTTTTAGACAGAGCAATTATTCTCGCGTTGTCCAAACACAGTACTAAGTCAAAGCTAGTGAAACAGTGCAAAACTCAACTGAGGCTAATGAGTAACTAGTGTATAAGTTGATTCCAGGAATGATTTCATTATTGATTTGAATTCCAGGAGAATGAGAAAGGCAATAAAATAAAATGACGGTTGAACTACCTAGAGAAGGATTAGAAGCAACCTCAGCGGGGAAACAAATTTTGATCTCACTAAAATGTGCTCAAAAACATGTTTGTAATTATTTTCTAAGATTAGCAAAACGCAGATGGAAAACTACCAATATACCATGTGCTACGAGTTATCAAAAGTAAACAACCTAATGAACAACATTACAATAGAAATGACAAAACTTTTGTGTTGACTGACCATTGTGCAGGTAGAGTATACTCACTGAAAAATTGGCTGCAATGAAGAAGAGGAATAAGGACCAACTAAAGGCTTTCTGTGCAAATGCCGTGTCCTCGTAAGATTAAGACATGAAAGACTATGGAAGTATGCGAGCTAATGAAACTCGCGAGCATCCCAAACGTCAATTTTTTCAAAGAAAAATATTCAGGTTTGTAGTAACAAAACGGCACCTAGGCGGTACTTGGACGGAAGAGAAAGGACTGTGGGTACTAAAACCACTAAACATGCTGATAAGAGACGTGAACTAAAATATGTTTTTATTTGAATAATAAACGTGAGATTTAGAATTTTATAAACTCTTAAGATTAAGGACTTAATTGAAGTCTACATTTCAAGCAGAAAGCTATCAGATCTGTTTAAACATCTGTTTAAATACTGAATAAGAATAGATGTTATAACGATTTCTTCTATCGATACTACAAACTACATATCGATAGTATCGATACCTAAAACCTATCGATACTAGGTTGCTACATATTTTTATATACAAATAACTATTTTATAAAGAGGTTTTTCGAACAGTAGTGAACTACAACTATAAAAATTCATTTTATATTATTTTAATCAATTGAATTTTTGGCTGACCGTACAGCTGTTTCGAGTATTGCCAAATATCCATCATCAGTGACCTCGGAAATAATTCTGGTATTTAATTATTCGTCTTGGAATCGAACTCATGTCCTGCCTAATTTGAAGCTCAGAGTCAGCGCACCTTAACCAACTGACCCAAAGCTATACTTGACTTTTAGGTTCGCACATTTTTCTGAAGTTATTCTGGAATAACTATTTTATTAATAAAAAAAAAACAAATACACATAATTTTTTTAAGTTTTGCTACAATAAATTTTATTTTAAACTATTTATATATATTATACTAATAATAATAATAATTATAATAATAATAATAATAACTATTAACTCTAAATATTTGTTCTTCCCTGTTTCGAACATCAGACATTGCCATATTAATTTGTCTCCTCTAACGCTTTTTACATTTTAAACTTTATACAATACATTTTTACATTTTACACACATAAAATCTAATAAATTTAAACTTGCATTTGAAACATTTAATTAATTGAATTAAATTAATTAATTGAGTAGATTTTGTTTTTGCTATAATTAATTATACTTTGCTATATTGGCTTAAGATCAATTAAATTTTAATTCATTTAAACTCATGCTTTTGTTGCTATTATGTTAAAAACGCATAATACATATATAAAATACAAGCTTTTATAAAAAAATAATATAAAAATATATTTTTTTTATGTTGTTGTTGTGTAAAATCATTAAACCTTAATCTTTTTAAAATAATCATAATGATAACGAAAAAGTATGTCAGTATGTCATAGTCAAAAATATACAATTAATATCAAGAACCCACAGAAATGTGTGTGCAGTACAAACATATAAAAAATAGAAATAATATAAAAAAATAAAAAATTAAAACAATTTATAACCAATAGGACGAAAAACAACTCATAAAAAAAATTAATAAATATTAGTTAAACGTAATTGTGACCTCGAAGAGGTCTGACCGATCAAGAGATCGGCTATTGGTAATCTATTTTAATTCAGTGCGTTGACCCGTGCGCAGTTTGGCGCGTACATTCAAATATTCTGGATTGACGTATTGCTTCTCGTCCTCATCTATATCCACAGAACTATTGCTGTGGTTATCGTGGCACGCATGTTTCTGAGCACGTTCCATTATCACACGATTTAGTTCACTTTTTAGGCCAACAGTCGGCGACTGGTCCTCGCGCGTTTGATTGTGTTGTTGTTGGCGTTCTTTTTGTTTTTCATAGGCACGTTGCAGTTCGGTCTTCTGATTAAGAACACTCTTTCCACTATAAAAGAAAAAAAAATTGATTATTATTCTTAGTAAGAACTAATAATCCTTGTATACTTAAGATACATAGCATATATGATTTCATAAATAAAAGGGTGTGGTGTAAATCGTATATCGCATTAGAAACTACACATAATAAATATTTATTTTTCCTCTCGCTAAGAAGTAAGTGTTACTATAACAGCTAAAAATATATTATATATATGGTTTTATAAAAAAAAGGAGTACCCTAAAGATCACTAGAAAGAACATAGTCGAAATGTTGGCGTAAATAAAAATTTTTTTGAAAAAGTGTATTATTCTACAGTTTACCAATTATCCCGTCACAAAAACAAAATTATTGATACAAATTTTGATCAATATAACAATAAATTAATAAAACAGGAGAAAAAGTTAAATTACATGGATAAGTCTAAGGTTAAAACTCTACACAATAGTGTTTAATGAGGCAAGAGACTCAAAAATTCGTGCAGTGTATAATGTAATACATGTTATACATAATATATTAAAAAACATATATATTATAAAATAATAATATATTATAACATTATATTATAATAAAACAGATTATATATAATAATATACATCTCACATATATAATATATATTACAATATATAATTTAATATATAGTGTATAGTATATATTAAATAATTTATATATTATGTATTATAAAATATACGCTAGAAACTAATGATGTATTCAGTATTATTCTAAAAGGAATATTTAAATTTATAACAAAATTAAATTGTCAAGAATATTTTATATTAAATTAAAATTAATAAAATAGTCTAGATTAATTGATTAATGATAAGATTTTAATAAATATTAATTTCCGCCTCAATATGACTAAAACTATGCTTGTATAAATAATTACCGCGTTTATAATATATAAATTACATAGATCAGATTAGGTTAAACTAGATAGCTATACCAGAAATGGCTATGAGGCATAGCCATATGTTGATTTTTCTCATAAAAGTGAAGGAAACATCGGAGATAGTATAAAGCAAACTAATCGGCATATAAGAATATGTACACAAAGCATACGTATAAAAAGAAGATATATGAGAATTAGACATTTACGAAGAAAACATATATGACATATAAGAAGAAGTCTAATTATTTTTATTAATCTCATCGATATACATTGATATAGCGATATTCGTTCGGCTATATGCTTGTTTCAAAAACAAGTAGTCTCTGACTTGAACATTCTATCTTAAAAGACTCTTAATTATAAGTTTTGATAAATCAAATTTTTGAGAATAAAGCTTGAATATTAAATGAATATAACTGCAGGTAAGGCAATTCATGTTTTTATCGTTAATTTTTATTGTACGCTCGCTATCAGTATCTTTGGTAAGAAATTTATTTGGTCATTCACTATATATCTGATGTTTACCATTGTGGTCCAATCTAGAGGTATCAGTCTTTCTCAAATAGCAAAAACTTTATTCACTTGGTATACTGTAGAAGTAACTTTAAAGACAGAATATGATAGTGTAGTCAATAGGAAATTTGGTGACCTTGTGTCGATTATTTTTTAATAATATTTTTAGGGATATTTTGATTATTCAAACACGTCCGTTTGATTATGGATTTCGCTTGATTTCAATATTCTTTATTTATTTCTAGACTATCTTTTATGTTGACCTAGCAGGGTTTTTATGATCTCAAATTTTAAAATTCTAAACTCATCACATTAATTGCGATAATAAAGAAACTACACCTGCCATCTAGCGAAACCTAATACATGCAATTTTCAGATTAAACCACACAAACTACATTAAATTGATTTTTAACTTCCGTTTTCACAAAAAACTAAATTTTAATATAAACTACTGTTTTCAATAGAGTGATTGTTATAGAAGAGTAGTTAAACATAACAACAAAAATTTTTTATTATTTTTAATTAATTGAATTTTTGGTGACCATACAGCTGTTTCTGTAGTCTGTTCACACAAACTACGATTAAAAATACAACTTGATGTTTGATTACTGCTTTTTTTCATGTATAAATATGCAACTGTAAAGCCCGATATCTTAAGAGCTAGATTATATAGATATATATCTAATCGGATATCTATAATCGGATATCTATAGATATCTATAAATCTAATCGGAACGTCTATTATACCGAACTCATGTCACTTTCTTTTCTTTATCACTTCTAAAGAAGTTATTGATCAGATTTAATTTTAATATAAGAACTATATAAACTTGTTAATAAACACTCGAGAATCTTGTGTGTAAGGTACTATAGGTTTGGTGATGCCAATGCTAACTCCCAAAATTCTATAGTTTACTTAAAAACTATTAGTAATAGCATATATTTTCAATTCAACACTGTGATGTTTTTTTAACTTCTTATTCAGTAGTAATCATATATATTTATTAATTTTATTTAATTATTTTCTTTATATTTTAATTATTTTTGTGGTAAAGAATATAAGTGTGTCTATTATTATTTAACCTTAACACTATGCCGGTAGATAATGTGTTAGATATTTGTTACTAATATTTATGCATAGACATATGTCTATGCATACAAGTCTAAGATTTAACTAATTTACGTTTTACACTATTTATAAAATTTATAATATTTAAATGATATTATTTATAAATATTAAATATATTGAATTCACATACACTTTGTTATTGAATTTTAATTCACGATGTAATTGTTTCCGATCCGATGACTCAAGACATGGATTGATCAACTTCTTTGGTAATATTAAACCATCGGCGTCTGTTTGTACTCCCGGCGGTGGCGAAGACATCATCATCTTATTTGTACTTCCGTTCTGTTCGGCAGAATGTTTTAATCTGTCCGTGTATAAACTGTGACTGGATCCACCACTATTAGCAGATTTTAGTGCTGATGATGTCTGTTGTTTAGTATCTGTTGAACTATCTATTGAATCTGTGCCTACAACAAACAAACAAACAAACAGACGTTTTTATTTCAAATAATAACAATAATATTAACGATAAATATAACACTAACAATAACAATAACAATAAGAAGAATAATGATAATGATAATACTTTGTGGAAAGAAAATAGTGTAGAAAAAAAAAGCGGAAAGAAATCAATAACAAAAAGTCAATGATTTATAACAAAAGACGGAAACTGATGAGGAGGCAAAGAGCAAAGAGGAAAGAAGAGGCAACAATTCGTAGACAACAAAGATCTTCTTAAATATTAAATTTAAACTTCTTTTACGCTGGGTGTTTTGTTATCTATCCATATAAAATTTTTTTTTGTATTTTCCAATGAATTTATCCAGCTTTGCTAGAAGCAGCATATGACTGCACATTTTTGAGACACAAAAGCAAAAGTTAATTGGCCAATATCAAGTGTATCTGCTATAAGAGGTACAACAGAATACCACGAATAGTTTGAATTCGACTAGTGACAGGCACGCACTTTTAGATTGTGCTAGCACTGCACCCAACCATACGACAAAGGCTATATCATAAGCCATACCAAACCATCATCTTCCACACACAATCATATATTCTATAATTGTGCAGAATTCTAAATTCCATAAAATTCAAGTAAAAGCATAAAAGTCTTCAAGAAAAAGTAGCAAAACGTGGATTAAGGTTACGAGCACCATTGGAATTTAAACTTTTTGTTTACTTGTCTTTTGCTTCTTCTTGCTATTGTCATACCTCAGTATTCCATCGTCTGTCTACCCATACACCTATCTGTCCATTTGTCTGTCATAATTTTGAAACTGCTGAAATGCCACAAACTGAGTAGTCTCAATTTAGTTTATTTTTTTTTTCTTTTCTGTATTATTGTATGTTATGGGCCTAAATCGTCTTTTCGTTCAGTCTTTTCGTTGAAAGACGACGTCTTAACCCAAGAACATTAAACTTCCGAACAAACGAACCACTTTCTTTTTCAACAGAAAGAAAGGCAAAAATACACGTCCGCACTTGAATGGACAATACGTGTAAGAAGAGCTATAAGGCGACTTGACAAGTTGACTAGTTGACAACTTGACTGTTTGACTACCTGTCTATTTGATTATCTGACTGCATGGCTGTTCAACTCTTTACGCTAAATTATCGTATTAACCCATATTTTCGCGCATTAACAATTTTTACCGTCCGTACCGCAGAGGTAGGTAGCGGCAAAAAAGCGGGCAAAAATACTTAATTGTTGAACGAATTTTAACTAGTAAATTCGTTAACGTGGTCAAATAAATGCAAATTATGTTAACATAAGACATTAAAATAATAATAAAAATATAAAAAAAATTCAAAAATTAACAAAAAATTATTTCTTTTTCAAATTATTTAAATTTTGCTTTGAGGCTTCGATTTTTTTTTTTTTTTGGTTTATTTCGTTTTTGCATATCTATTACATGTTTTTCGTTTTAAAAGTCATTTTTTTAATTTTAATAATTTCTGAGTGAATATCTTCTTGGCAGTAAAAAAATTAAAAAATTTTTTTTCTTTAAATTTTTACCACATTTAGTCATAATGACCCGTGAATGTGCACATCATAGCCTGCAAACGGCTTCGAAACGGTCAAGGTAAATTAACTTTTTACTCACATTTTGTGCATGCAAATAATTTAAGATTTAAAAAACATTTTGGCAAAAAATAAAGTGTTTACTTAAATGACTAGAAATTACTCCTAAAATGAAAAAAATGATGTCAATATATTCTTCACTATAATTTTAATACATAAAAGTACTAATATTTGAATAATTAGAATGATTGAGCAGTTCAGCGATTTATAAGTGGAAAACCATTAGAAATAATGTTCCTGAAAATCTTCATAAACTACATATTTATTGTAATAAATACAAAGAATATCCAACTGTAGAATCAAAGATTTGCCCAGAACTGTATAAAGATGTTAAATGATTTTGAAAATAAGTTCTACCTTCTGCTCAAAAAGTATCCGAATTTTGTTGTTTGTTAACTACTCCTTAAGTAATAGACCTTTTTCAAAATTTTTTTTTTATTATGTTGGTACACCCTTTCTTGACATACGGTACAAATTTGAGCGCCATCTGTCAATTAGTTTGTTTACAGCAGCTGTTAATGTGAGACTACCTCAAGTGCATTTAGCGATTTTTATTATGGACAATTCTTGTTACCTCATTGTTATCGCTCAGCCACCATATTCGCCAGATCTGGATCCGTGCGACTTTTTCCTGTTCCCCAAACTCAAATTGCCCTTTCGTGGTAAGCGTTTTGAGTCGATTGAATCGGTAAAAGAGAAGGAATTCGCTGAAGGAACTAAAAGCCATACCTTCACGGGCCTACGAAAAGTGTATGGAAAATTGGGTTGGCATATGTGTATGGCTTTAGAAGGAGCATATTTTAAAGGAGATAAAATAAATTTGAAATAAAATTTAAATTTATGTGTTTTATTTACAAAATCCGAGTACTTTTTGAGCAGAAGATACATATCGCAACTGTATGGCAAAATATATCAATTTGCTATTATATATAATAGGATATAATAAACCACTGTTTTTTGAATCCAAGTTGGGAAGAACATTTGAGCGTATGAAGAGTTTAGTGACTCCAAAACATATATTAAAGGAACCATTTTAAAAGCAGCTAATTTGTCATCATGAAAAATTATGTCCCTTAGTCGGATTAGTGTGTTTCTCCAAGTCCGATTTCTTTGATAAAAGACAGTATAGAGTCTATCATTCTAAATCTTGAATCCCTCTGTTTCCTAAAACACCCCCCTAGGTGTTTCTTCTGTTTGTGTATCAATGCCGAGCACTTCCCTAGTACATGATATGTGGTTTCTCTCTCTTCTCTACAGTATCTGCAGTCTGCGTTGGGTTGGATTTTGTTAGCTATGTTAGGTGAATTTGCAATCTTCAGTAACCAGTTAGTAACTCCGCAATAATTCTTATTCTATAATTTTTATTCTTATTCTTTGTTAGGTGATTATCCAATATTCAGTACCCAGTTAGTAATCTCGCAATAATTCTTAGGTTATTCTTTATTTGTTCTATGTAATTCGTGAAGCATTTTAGGTTGTAAGTCGATAAAAGTATTTTAGATTGTGATAGTCTTGGTAGCTTTTCTCAATAGAGTTCTTTTTCTTTTTCCTCTGTGCTGTTCAAAAGAATGGATAGAGTTCTTTAGAGAGGCCAAGGTTCATACTGGACTGTCGTGCCATATAAGAAGAAGACTTTCCATCCAAAAATATTAAAAAATAAGCGAAAATAATATCGATTAATATCAATAGAGTATCAATCGATTCTTTCGGAGTTTTGTAAATATAATTGAAAAAAAATTAATGCTTATAAATCAAAAAAAAGAAACATCAAACATACAAAATTTGGATAGACAATTAAAATTAATTTAAAAAAATAAAAAACATTGAAAATAATATTAATAACATAATTTTTTATATTTATAAAATATTTCTACCAATATTTCGCTTTACAACGTAATTATATTTTAAACAGTTCAATTCTATATGATAGCTTATAGTATATATATATTAACAATGAAATTATAAGCACGGCTTCTGAATAAAACAGCTTATATACGATTTAATATATTAAAAGTGTTATTAAATAGCAATTATGTGCCATCAATATGCAGTATTTTTTGACAAAATTCAGAAATTAATTTTAATATTACTAGAATGGATTGATTTTAAATGGTTAATATACATATGTTGGAGAATAATGGAGAAATACAGTGACACCTCTTATAAAGTGATTAGCCAATTTTTGACCATTAAAAAGTATGTTAATGTTTTATCGTAAGGATTTAAATTATTTAAAATATTACTTTATTTCTAAAAATATTATCTACGGCAAATTATATGTGTCCATTCAACAGCGTCGTCCTTTAAAACAGTTTTTATTGCATGAAATTAAATATATTTTATAGCATTTTATCTCGTGACTCCTTAAACTAGACAAGGTTTATGAAAATAAATAAAAAAATTATTTTAAAAACTATTTATAGAAAAATATGTATTATAATGTATACAGATAAACCCTGTGGATCACGATTAATCAATACCACATTCTTTAAAACTGTGTTGTTCGAACCTACAAAAAAAAGACGTCACATCTTAAGTTTTTTAAAATATTAAATTTTTTCCAAAACAATTATTCAAAAATCGTTTCGTGTGAATCGTGGGAAGGTATCCATCCATATTCTTCGAAAGTGGTGTTCTTCATTTACAGTGTTGTTTAGGATTTAACTGTACTCGTACACTATTACTCATCAGAACAAACAAAACCAAAACATTCAAAACATTCAAAATTGCAGTGACTATCACAACATCAAGAATAGATTACGCTTAAATGGTTGTTTGAAAGACCGCACATTCAGTGTTGAGATCACCTATGATCATATAATTATATAAATGAAAATGTAATGGACCATGTTCAACCTCAAATGGAAATGTAAGAAGCTGTGAACAAAAGTCACATCACTATTTAAAATGCATGAAAAGTATTATTTCCGCATTTGCGACTTTGGCACCTACGGTTCGGATATGCAAACTTTTAAGAGTTGAAATTGTCAAATTATATATGCATAAAATTTTACAAGATTCTTTTCTATGAATATTTATGATTACAAACAGAATTATATATGTTTTTCTTTTATGCTTTAAGAAAGGACTCTTGAAACCAGGATCAGGATCAACTCAAATGGGCTATTTTTTTGCAAGATTTCGTATTTGGACAATCACTTAAAGTGATTAAAAGAAAATCAGTAAAGATCTTCAGATGTATCAAAATATTATTTTAAGAAGATTTCTAAAGGCTACATGATATGTGAAAAACAAGGAAACAAGGAAATAACTTCATACCTTAAATACGATTTCAGCCAGTAATCAGATCTTTACAGTTTGATAGTATGGATAATCTCAACTCTTTCCTAAGATATGATTTTAGTGAGTTCAAATCTTGCCATAAAAAAAAACTAAATTCAACAATACTTCAAAACATTCTGTTAAAATTAGGAAATCTTCAACTTCATTAGTGATTCATATAATATAATCTCCCACATAATAGAGTATAATTGTTAAAGTCACTAATTCGAGGAACTTAAAATACGACAAGACAAAAATCATAGCTTAATGTTTGACAGTAAAAAAAGCATTTGCTGACTCATTAGATAAACACTTTTTTCTTAGTATGGATATAGATGACGACATAATAGCACTAAAACTAATTAAAGGTGAAACTGAAAATAAAATCAAAAAATTTTAATTTTTTGTCAATCGATTACTTATGTTTGCCATAAGAATCATTTTTGTTTATTGCTATATAGTATACTACATAGACAAGCATATATCATATATACATAACGTATTTGATGATAGACAGACCATATAAGGACTACTGTCTTGACTGACTTTGATTGTAGTTTGATTTGAGGTTAAAATGATTAAAAAAAATAACATAAAATATGGAGGAATATGCTTTGGCTTTTATGGTTTCAAAGAATTTAAACAATTTATTACAGAAAATTTCACTGAAATGTGAAATACAGAAATTTCTTTATTTGAAAGAAAATGCCTAAATAAACTGTCATTCATAAATTCACAAATTAAGCTTAGGGGTATATAAAGTATTTAATATTCTATTTGATACTATATGTAAATGCATCTGATCACATGATTAAACCAATGCTTCGATAGATTCAATAGATTGTACTTTGGTTTTACTGAATTCTTGCAATCACATTCCGCTTTTTTTTAAATTTTAAAATAAATAATCGCCTCCTCATATTGGAATTTCTCATCGACATTCGAATCCGCAAAATGTGGACATCTCTTATAACTCTTATATATACTATACTATAGGCTGATTAGATTTAAAAGGCACGTATTCATGTGAATACCAACACTAAAACTCAGAGACAACTGTTGCCTATTCTGATGCCCTCAAAGTTGCAAGAAGGAGGAGAGCTGTGTAGTATCTAAAATACTAGTGCGTATAGGGTATGTGATACAGAAATATTCACACGAGCCAGTTTTTTGCCATCGTTGTTATAATACAATAAACTATGTTTTAAGAGAGCAATCGCTCAAAATATATATAAAGTCAGTGCTCTAAAGAGACATAGTTTGCTAGATACAAAACTAAGACAGAATCTAATTGATACTGTTAATGATACTGATAATTGACACTGATAATTGATAATGATTATTGTTACTGAGACAAAATATTTATTATGATCGGGTGTATTCCTCGTAGGTAGACAGTTAGGTTATGAGACTTTCTTTTTTCAAGAACTTTGCAGAATTGTTATTATTTGTGAGTACGACTTAATAAGTATTATTATTTTTTAATACTGAATGTTATATGATGCGTATAATTAGAGAGATTAATAGTTTTGAAACTATACTGTTATCATCGATATCCGTTACACTTTTAATTAATAATGTGAAACATATAATTATTAAGTATTGGATTATTTATATAAATTTCTGTTTGACTGTTATCTTTTTTTACACACATATAATATTTTTCAATAAATTATTTATATCTAAAAGTCAATTAAACTCACTTAAACTTACTTTCGAAAATTTGCATACGAGTCAAAATACTCGCGGATATATTTAGCCGACTCATTCTGACGTATTGAAACCGATTTGAAGATGGACTTTATAGACTAAGACCGCACCGGAAAATGCGTATATAAACTATTAGTATCCGATAAAAATGCAATATGGAAGTGTATTGAATCGCATTTAAACGATTCCAAATGCGGAAGACGAGGCAAAGTTGCGTTTGTTGTTTTCAATGTAAATCGATCGAACTAACTAAATTAAGAAACAAGTTTAATTGCATTTGAAAATGTTAAGAAAAAACTGAACAGAAAAAGTGCTGTATACGATTTTCTGTTTTTATATCATGCATGTGCTTTATTGTTTATTTTGTACCCCGTACGAGAACGTTTAACAGGCAAAACACTACTACAATTTCCAATTATGAAAAAAACTATTTCAGCTGTTTTGCTCTGACAACACTTCTATGACTAGTTGGCACTGTCTGTCCAAAAGTCCGTCTTTGGTAATTATATACTGATATGCACATGTGCATGCTCATCAACAGAAGCTCAATGCACCCACCGCACACCGTATCCGAGAAGTGACCTATAAAATACCGAACGGAATTATATCAAAGAAAGCATGGAAATGCCAAATGCTCCTTTTTTGTGAGCGAACCGAACCGAACCGACCCTACAATAAGCACCACTGCAGTTGCATTTCTATCTTTAGTGCTCCTTTTCTATTATTATTATTTCTATTTTTCTTTTTTGTCTGTAGAAATATTTTATACTGGACGGACGTCACTGGAATGTTGTGCACTATTGCCGGCTCGAAATATGTTCGCTTACTGCATTGAGGCATCTCTGTGCTTCTAGGTTATGGTTGTGCTCGATTATGCGAACTATGCTTGCGCATATGAAAGGTGGCGGTGTGAGTGTGAAAAAACAATGGTAAAAAAATCAATAGTCAAAAGTATAGAATTCCAAAAACAAAGCACCTTTTGCTGGCTGCACCGATGCCATTTCAAGTGGGTGGCTTGAGTTGAAGGTTCACTTGATAGTTGATGGGTATACTAAATTTGTTGTCCTACTTTCATACTAGCAGTGCATATATATAGATAGATATGTATCGTAACGACGTATTATCATCTTTTAATCTCTGTAGAAAGTAAAAGGGATTTTGAAAGAAAAAAATGTTGCACGTTATGCATATAAAATGGTTGAATAATCAAAATAATAAAATATTATTTTTAAAAATATATAAAAAATATATATATAAAAATTTAAAAAAAAATATATATAAAATATATAAAAAAAATATATAAAAAAAATATATAAAAAAAATATATATAAAAAATATAAAAAAAAATATATAAAAAATATAAAAAAAAATATATAAAAAATATTTAAAAAAAATATATAAAAGATATAAAAAAAAATATATAAAAAATATAAAAAAAAATATAATAAATATATATATATATAAATGGTAAAAAAAATATAAAAACAGTAAAAAAAATATATAAAAATGTAAAAATAAAAAATACAAAAAATGTTAAAAATATATATATATAAAAATGTAAAAAAATATATATAAAAATGTAAAAAAAATATATATATATAAAACTGAATTAAAAAATTAAAGTGGAACAGCATTGACAAATAATTTAAGAAATTATAAATAATTCTTAATTAAAAATGGTTCGTAAAATAAATCTTCCTAAAATAAAATCATGAGATAAAAAATAAGTACAATATTTAATTTGAATTTTAGAATAATGAGCAAGGTTCTTACTTTAATGGTCACCCGATTTAAAAACGAATTTAAGTAAAGTCGGCTATACTGAGCAACTTCTGTCTATCATTAATAACGCTACGTATATATGGTACATACATATATGCTTGTCTATATATAGTAATACTCAGAGTTTTTATTATTATGGCAAACATAAGTAATCGATTGACAAAAAATTGAAATTTTTTGATTTTGTTTTCAGTTTCACCTTCAATTAGTTTTAATGCTATTATGTCGTCATCTATATCCATACTAAGAATAAATTGTTTATCTAATGAGTTAGCAAATGCTTTTTTTTACACTCAAACATTAAGCTATGAATTGGTCTTGTCGTATTTTAAGTTCCTCGAATTAGTGACTGCAACAATTATACTCTATTATGTGAGAGATTATATTTATGAATCACTACTGAAGTTGAAAATTTCCTATTTTGAAGTTCCTCATAACTTCCAGAGACAAAGCTTCGATTTGGTTTTAGTCTACTTAGTGTTGGATATGAATAAACATATATTTTTGAAAAAAGTAATTCTTTTCTTCGCTGCTAGAAAAACGAAACCAACGAAACAACAAAACCCACAGTATAAGACCTGAACCCATTAAAACCACCTTCTTAGGAAGGAGTTGAGAAGATCCTTGCTGTCAGAGTGTAAAGATTTGATGATCGCTATGAAAAATTGGAATGAAATTAAGATTAAATTAAGAGATTAAACACAAGAAATCCATAACATTGCTTTTTTACATTTCCTGTAGCGTTTAGAAATCTGCTGATTTTCTACTAATTACCTTTTGAGATTTTTACTGTTTATGAGCATTTTCTACTTCGCTTTTCAGTGTATGTAAATATATAAAGTGATTTAAAATTTTAAAAATTTAAATTACGATTTTTTTAGTACTCATATCAGTCACTTAGTTTTTGAAAAAAGTTTTATTTTTTCATTAAAACCGTCACTAGACAGACCTTTCATCTTCTGATGAGATGATTTGTTTTCAGTCCTACTTAATATATGATTTCGGTGTCTACATAGTGGATAAAGGATTAAATTAATAATATAAATAAATAAATTAATTAATATTAAGGAAGAGTATACACATTACTTTCTAAGTCAATGGTATGAGAAGAAAGCGCGTACGAAATTTGAAAAATACATTTGGTGAATATTTGTTGAAAAATAAAACTTGTGTCAAAAAGTGCTGTTTTAGCCACAAAGTGCTAATTACTAATACTTTTAATAATTATTATTTATAAAGATGATATATTTAATCCTAAAGTATACGTTTAAGTTATTATCTTTTTTAATATTGTATTGAAAATTGGGTTTTTTATATGAGAAAGCTGCTTTAAAGTCTTTCTAAGTAGTATTACTTTATATAATAAAAAGATTATTTTACATATTCTTGGAAAGATCTTATCCTTATATTTATTAATGTATATAATTTTTAGCATACATCAAATAACTTAGTAATTATTCACTCATGTAAGTATGTTCATTACATGATCCTATTTGAGGACCATGTATTTCCTCAAATAGTGGAGAAGAAACACTTGGTGACTACTAATATTCATATATTAATGGCGGATCCACCGTTGTTATTAAATAATATATTGTATATAGAAGTCTACTATATCTTTTACACAATTCCGTGTAAAAGATATAAGAAGATGGCAGGATTTTGCTCTGTTTTGTTACCACATACCTAATGACTTATTCATTAAATATATATAAGATTATGTACTCGAAATGTTATAAATAATTTAATTTATAATTAAAAACATTTGAGAAAATGTACCTGAACATAATCATTTATAAATTATATTATTATTATTTAATCCTTTTATTGCTAGGTGGAACAGAGAGAATATAGAGCCTAAATAATTACTTAAGAATAGTTGCAGCAGATTATCGCTTCGAGAGACTAATCCAGCTGCCAGTGGCGGAATGGTAACTCTTCTTGCTCAATACATTTGTTATAGTTCTATAGTCAAATATGTTTATTTATGTAACTTTATCTCACAAATTATATTTTATATTATAATTAAGTTGAATTCAATTCGATCTAAAAATTGGAGATTTATTGGAGATAAAAATTGTGATCCCTTGCAGAATAATGTAAAGGCTCTAAGTACTCTTTCTGACTATTGGAGAATTAATATTGTACATTATTTTATTAAGTTTTATTATATTTTTTTCTTTGTACATTATTTCAATATAGTTTTATTATACACGTTTTTTAATTTAAATTATTTTATTTTATTAAATAAATATTATATTATTTATTTTATTTCAATTTAGTTTAGTATCTTTTTTTAAATAGTACACAAATTGTTTTTTAATCTAGAAAACTGTTTACTTTTATGTCTTTAGAAGAGTCATTATTGTCAATAAATAAAAAGAAAATATTTACAAATATTATAGAAGATAAAATTATCAACTACACCGAGCAACACCTATTATGTGTACAGTACATAATCGCTATAGTATTTGAGACAAATACTTTAACAAGTGATAAGCCCGATTAGATAAACAGCTACATCCCTTTTTTAAAAAACCTTATTTTCAAAATGTACAAACCTTCAATGAGACTACATATATATATGTATATTAAAATCACCAACGCATACCTCTAAATTTAAAGTCGTTTCTTTGTTAAAGAATAACGATAAACATTTTTTTATTGAAGTAAATATTTATTTAACACGTTAAGTTTTTTAAACAAATTTGTTTATTTCCCAAAATATTTTATACAACTAGGAAACATATAATAAGAGATCAACAATATATAAACAACTGCTAAAATGCGATAAGAACAGTGGCGTAGTGTATAAATTCCCCCATTTAGACGATAAAAAAAATACATTAACACTTAAAAATTTAAGTGTTAATGTATGAAAAATAATGAAAATTAAGGAAATGTTTATTGAGTATAACCTCTACATAGAATAATCTATTTTAACGTCTTAAGAATCAATCTTTATAAAATATTCCCAAAGTTAGTATTATATTTGCTTACATCATGTTAAATTCGGTAACTACGCGCGATTTAAACATATTGAAAGGCAATAGTAAATACTCGTTCATAAGATATATAGCACCATAGACAATATTACTATACTATTACTATTGCTATATATAAATCAGCTAAGTGATAAGCAAATAGCTAAGAACAATTAAAATGACCAAAAACTAAATCAGCAGCAAACGTTAGTACATCTGTAATTGGAGATGGAATGATGAAGGACTGATGATAGAAAACTATTTCTAGAGTTACATTCATTAAGAAGCAAAAAACAGACCTTAGTATACTAATTACAAATCTTGAGTAGATAATACGAGCTGTGTATTCACAGTAGAAAGGGTTTTATCGAAGAGTAATAAAATTGTAACAACAACATTTTTTTTTATTATTTTTATAAAATTGAATTTTTGGCTGATCTTACAACTGTTTCGAATATTACCAAATACCTAACAGTGGTCTTGGAATTATTTTTTATATTGAATTATTTGGAAATGATTTTTTGAGACTGCAAGTAACAAAGGTACCAAATACCTAGTGCCAAATACCTATCATCAGTGGTCTGATGAAGATTTTTTGTATTGAATTATTTGTAAATGATTTTTTTAAACTGCAAGTACTAAAGGCACCAAATGCCAAAGGCCAAATACCCATCATCAGTGATCTTGGAATTATGTGTTATAATTAATTATTCGTAAATCACTTTTCGAGACTGTAAGTATCAAGGTTACTAAATTTATATTTGGCAGGGTACAAGTTCAAATTTATATTTTAAATTACAACTATTTAATATAGTAATATAGTATACAGTACATCATTCCACCCTCTCACAAACACAAAAAAAATAATAAATAAATAAAAAAACATAGTATATTAATGTTATATACTAGTTGTAATGTAAAAATACATAAGACAAGTGCTTAAGACCTTTTGGTTTTTACATATCAAAGGGACTACTTTTTAATCTTTAAAATACTTAAAACTATTTAAAACGGTTTCAAACAATAAAATAAAAAATATCTGTCACGAAACACTTTTCTGATAATCTTTATCAAGCTGCTATAATCTAGAGCACACATATAGTACGTAGAAGAGAAATAAATCTGAACACACAACGCAAAACCTTGACCTATTTTTTCCAGTGCATGTGTACAGCATCCTATTCCTCTCAACATGTCAAGATGAAATGAAAATGCAATGATTATCACCACTTCAAAACAATAGAAAACTAAAAATAGTACAATAGCAGCGAGTAACCTACGACTATAAAGAATTTCTGCTTTCCTGGCCATAATTGGCTCCATGAAGAAAATGGACGTGCAATACATGAAAAAAAATTTCATTCCTTTTGCACGTGCGAGTATAAATACAAAAGGAAAGCACTACAAAATACAAGTACTAAAAAATCAATAGCGGGAATACAAGGAGTAAATTAAAATGAATCGCAAAAAATTAAAATGTGGAAGATGAAATAAGAATATGAATAGGTAAAGCAAATGCATATAGGTTGTCGTGTACGAACGGGGTGTTAAAAACAACCGAAACCTAACATGTCATAGAACCACTCTGTACTACGTGTGACAAGCAAAATTTTCCATTAAATTACTTTGTGCTGTTCTTCCAATCAGAACTGTGGTAACCCCCTCTTTATGGTCACGCTCTTATAAGGAACCAATTGTGTTATTGAAAAACGGGCTCAAATGTCACTAAAGCAACTCCCCAAAATAGCATAAGCTGATTAGACTTAAGGAAATTAATTGTAACAACACTGAAAGATACGAAGTGTAGGCAGCAGTTGCCCAGCGCACTCAACTCTAACTCAAATACTCCGCCTCAAAGGAACAGGCGAACAAAATCTTTAGCAACCACTCTCAAGAATAAAGCAAACGTGGCGAAGCAGCGAAAATTCCTTTCATGACTGCTTAAATCCCTTTTAATGTGCTTTCGTTTGTAGAACACAAAAACAAAAAAATAAGAAAATGTATCAACCCTGCTTAAGTGGCATGTAACGTACGTGAATTCAGTACAATCAGCAGGTATACGAAATATTATCTGGAGAGCTGGAAAGCTGGGGAGTGGCGCTCTTAATAAAAACTAAAAGAAGAAAAAATAGGTAAAAAAAAAATAACACAGTAAATGCTATATGCCACATGTTACAAAAGTTTAAATGTCATAAGTTCAATAAAATAATATAAAAAGTAAATTAAAAATGTCAACGAGAAGTATGACGACCACAAACCGCCATCTCTTCACCACTTATTCCTGCTTTCACATAGATGAAACTCCCACTTTTGTGACCCCTTAATTCAGACACTTCAACAGATTAACTGCAAGTGTAGAGCATGTGGAGAAATGCACAAGTGCTTCATGATTTGCTCTCATTTATTGGAATCTCCTCTGATTTCATTATTATGGAATCTCATTAAGTTGAATTAAATTTGTCGTTCACTCCGAAGAACGACGTCATAGCTGCATAGCAGCATAGCTGCATAGCTGTGAAAATGCCAATAAATGGATTTTCCCGTTTTTTCAACAGGATAACAGAAATATAAAGTACAATAATTTATATTGATTTTCGCCTTTCTATTTAATCTTTTATGCATTATTATAGCAGCTTGCACTCTTACATGCACGAGCAACGAATTTATATAAGCTCGACACATATACACATATCTAAATATGCAGTGATAACACAAGCTGATATGACAAAACACAAGTATCATTTTCCATAAATGTTTTGTTTACTTTGCGTTATCATAACGTCACAATGTCGCCTTCAACAGTTGTTTAAAGTGCACACATACATATGGTATAACGACAAAAACTGCAAAAAATAATAATTCATAGATATTTTTGAAGTTTCATATTTTTTTAGTCAAAACAACATTATATATAATCTTTTAAAAAGAAAAATCCTCATTTCTTTTTGCCCATCACGAAAACCTATTTATAATTCCCACATCTCAATATCCAACAACAGACTCTCAATCCTTGATATTGTCTTAAAAATTTAAATAGTTTAAAATTAATTTATATTCAACAAAAAAAAATTTATAGGTATTTCTATAAAAAAAATTTTTGATACTTTGAAATATTCTTGAGATATAGCATCGGTATTCTAATAACCGACAGGCGTTGGTATAAAAATTTTTCTATCAATTTTTACATATTTTGCATCTCTATTACCTAAAGGCAACCCTAAACTAACTAATTTTTTTTCATTTCTTAATGTTATGCAGCACTTTTCCCAAGCATTTTCACAAAACAAAACCGTGATTTTAACCTGTGAAAAACTAAAGTTAACCAGATCAAAATTATGCTATTCTACTTTATCATGATTCTATTTTATCATGATATCTTTCAGTTAGTTCACGTTAGAATGGTTAACGCGTCTACACTATCTTGGGCATTTAGTTACCCAATAGGTTAATATGAGTGAATGTCTCGAGGAAATTGTTCACTGAAACTCCTTAAATCCTATATATTACTTTTACTTTTAACTATTTGGTGATATCTATTCAATATATAAATAAAAGTATATAACACTGATTAAAATCAGTTGAAGTTTATAGCTTCAAAAATCTTCATTTATACTTCAAGTCCTATTATAGCTCTTAAGGTGTTTTCCCCCAGGATACTTTTATAACATTCTTTAGTTTAGGTAACTCTGTATTTTAGAAATTATTAATTTGAGCAATTACTAATTATATCTTTTGATTAACAGATATGCAGTCAAACCTCTATAACTCGAAGTACCATTTTGCAAAGAGAAGGTTCGACGACTTATGGAACCTTTTGAATTGTAATTGTATGTAATTTGTTCTTTAAACCCTGTTGCACTCTATTTAGTTTGAGTTATAGAAAATTCAAGTTATAGAACTTTGAGTTATGGGAGATTGACTATATTTCTAAAACGATTTTAAGTGAGTTGAATAACTTTAAGCAAAAGTTATCACATTTGTTAAGTGAAGGTAAAGAAAGGTTTTAAAAACATTAAATACAACGGTGATATCTTTCTAAATCCAACATTCATCATGACCCAACTTTTATCTATTCCAGAGAAGTGTTCAGTCAAAAGAGGTAACTTTATTCCATGAGTTACCTGTTATTCCATAATGAGCATAGTTTTAAAAAGACCAAGTGATGTCCAGTAAACAGAGGTGCCTGTCAAAAGAATTTTTACTAGATAGATAGGAAGTATAGATAGGTTATTTTAAGTAGCATGGTTTCCGTTCAATAGAGTTGTCTGTTAAGAGAGTTTTTACTGTATATATGAAGTAAATAGTTATTTCGTCTGCGTATCTAAATTTAGTGTATTTGTCAAACGTATTAGTAATGTATATTTGTGATAAATAATGCTGACATGATATCTACCGGTATTGCAAATTTTATTACTTCATCATTATAAATTTTATTCGTCTTTCATAGGCAACTTTTTCATTTATGCCATTTTAATTTGATAGCTAATCCATTTAAACAGACTTGCTCTATTCCATGTATCCGTACGTAATTACCGGCTAATCACGAAGGTAACATCTTTAGTTTTTATAGCTTTCAAATGATTTCGTAAGCCAGTTTTACTCAAAGACCGTATGTGTACAAAAATCAAGCATTAAAAACGCTTCCTGCAATTTCGTGCACGATTGAAAGCCGTGAAACTCACAATGCAACATGCAAAACCGTTTAAAGTTTTCCCATTTTTTCGTTTCGGTTCACATATTAAAACGCTAATCATATTTGCAATACGAGACGTATCGAATGATAAGTGGTGGCAACGCAAACCTTAAGACAAGATATCAAGACGTCAATTGCGCAAAATGTTGCACAACTTAAATTTGCATTTAAAATCGATTAAAATTCAGCTGATGACTATGAGTGTGGATGTGAGTGAATGTCGGTTGCATCACAGTTATGCATATTTGTAGGAAATTTGATAGCAACGTTGATGATAAGCACTGATAGTGCATTCAAGAGATGAAAGCACTTACAAAATGTCTCAGTCATTGCATATGATATTGAACACGATATACAATAATTTAAAAAACAATTACCTTTATTAATTATTTTAAGTCCCAGATCTTCACTCGCCTCCTTAAGTGTGCAACAGCAATCAAAATGATGCAAATATATGCAATGTAGTGCAATTTACTATCTGAAATAACACAAAAAAAAACCATTAACATTATCCATTAAAATAATTAAGTTGAATATTAAAAAAGGCTTCAAATCGAAATAAAATAAATTAAATAATTAAATTTAGTAACAAACTGTTTAACTGAAAAAAAAATAGTTAATTACTTAAGGATAAAACTTGGCACAACAAAGCGTACTTTTTTCTTTTTTTTAATTCAAATTATAATTAATTAAAAAAAATAAATAAAAGACGTTTACTTTTCAGCGAACCTAATATTTACATACATTCATTGTAGCTCATAGATGCATACAAATATTACAACAACAACAACAAAACAGCAAAAGTAGAAATAAAAATGCAGAAGGAAAAACTAAAGCCAGGCAAAGAATGAGAAAAATTTTTTCGCTCTTCCAAATATTTATTAAATACTGAATTAAACTTGGATTTCATTAACATTTCTTTTCAGTAAACCATTTTTTAATTTTAAAAAATAAACATTTTTTTTAAACTGTTTACAAATAAACATTTTTTTTAATTTTAAAAAATAAATATTTTTTAAATTGTTTACAAAAAAATAAAATAAAAGACAATAAAAGAAAAATAAAAAAATGATATAAACAAAAAAAAAAAATATTAAAATAAGGAAAATAAGAAAATTATATTAGACAAATAACAAAATAATATAAGAAAAATAAGGAAATAATATAAGAAAAATACAAGAAAAAATAATATAAGAAAAATAACAAAATAATATAAGAAAAAAAGAAAATACGAAAAAAATAAGAAAACAATACAAGAAAAATAAGAAACTAATATAAAAAAAATAAAAATATAATATAAGAAACTAATATAAAAAAAATAAAAATATAATATAAGAAACTAATATAAAAAAAATAAAAATATAATATAAGAAAACTAAGAAACTAATATAAAAAAAATAAAAATATAATATAAGAAAACTAAGAAACTAATATAAGAAAAATAAAAATAAGAAACTAATATAAAAAAGAAGAACTGATATAAGAATAATAACTAAGTAATATAAGAATTAAAAAAAATAATGTAAGAAAAATAAGAAACTAATACAAGAAAAATAGTATAAGAATAATAACAAAATAATTTAAGTAAAATGAGAAAAAAAATTTTTTAAAAATATGAGAAAAATAATATAAAAAAAATAACAAAATAATATAAGAAAAATAAAAAAATAATATATAAGAAAAATATAAAAAACTTAAAATAATACATGAAAAGAATATGTGAGAAAAATGAGAAAAAAAAAGAAAATATAAGAATCGAATATAAAAAAAATTACTTAAGAAAAAAAAAGAAAATAATGTAAGGAAAACAAGTAAATAATATAAAAAAAAGAAAATATTACAACAAAAATAAGAAACTTATATACGAAAAATGAGAAAATAATATAAGAAGAATAAAAAATAATAAAGAAATATGAGAAAATAATAAATTTAAAAATAAATATCAAATAGAGTCTCCATGATAAGTACGATGTTAATTTAAAATTTGAAAATTTCCTCACTAGAGGGCAACTTCTTCGATATCGGTTTTTTTGCTATATGATAAAAATAAATTAGAATTAAAAAAAAATGTATATTATAGTATAACCTTAACTAGCATCTCTAATGCAAGGTCTTTTTATCATTGAAAAATAGATTATAAAGAATATTGATAATATGATATAACGTCTAAGGATTTATCGGTTTAATTATGTTTATGTTTATATAACAGATAACAGTCAATTTACTTATCCAAAAAAACCGCTTAAAATGGACACCTTGCAAAATTATTTCTTGTCAATATATTTCTATATAAGGTTCATATGATTTTATTGTTTTACTTAAATTAGTTCATTAAATTTAAAGCGCTCTGAACATAGTCATAAAAACCTCCGTAGCAAAAGTCCATTAAATTAATTTGTAATCTAAATGAATTGCATTTATTTGCTAAGATACCACTTACATAAATTATATAGTTTACCTTATAGCTCATATCACAAGGCAGACAAATCGAATTTGCGATATCAATCCGTTTTTCTTTTATTATTCAAACCAAATTTCCAATTTTAAGATAATTGAATAAAAATGTGCTAAGGTAGTTTTTGTCACTCAGGCAGATCATGTTGACATATGATAAAAATAATTGAATAAGTCATTTACTACTCATATAAAACAAGTATCCAAAAAATTGTAATTTTAAATTATATATTGTAAATCAATTTAAAGGATGATTAATGGACTAAAAAGTTATTCATAAATTAAGCTAAATAGATTTAAACAGATTTTTTAAGGTGTGAAGGGTTTTTCGATTGTCTTTTTTTTTAAGGTGAACTTATTTTTGACATATCCTGACTTCTTTTATTAAAATTTACATTAATTCCATAAGATGTTTTCGTTTTTTAGATCAAATACTACCTAATAACAAAACCATCATGTGTTGTGAGTACTAGTATTAGATAGAATTTGTTACGCATAGATATATTTTTTTAAATCCACTTAAACCTTTCTTTATATGGACTTATTTAATTTCAATTTATCGGTGTCTAAAACCGGGGACAAAAGTTATGTTGTTTATGGTAAAATAAAGGACTTTCAAACCCGTGGAAATGTAGTTTATTTAATTACTATTGAAAAATTATTAAGGAAATTAAAATGCATATTATGTTGGTGAGATTAAAAACCAAATATTACCATACATACTCGTATAATTGGCACATGGTTTGTAAGTGATTTGCTAACTCAAAATTCCTTAGTACTTATTTTATAATTGTAATTATAGGACTACTTCAGCAAGAAAAGTTCAACTGATTACAATGATGAAATATATAATCTGATAGCAAAAAAATATATTACAACATATAAATCTATAGTTCAAAGAACACTCGAATAAGTACTCAAAAATCATCGTATGATTATATTCTACATATATAGAAAATAAAATATACTGGCAGATATACTTCTTGTTAAATTGATTTCTCTATACTTCACACACTAATAATGTCATAAAAAAAACTTATTATTGCATGTGTTAAACTGTATTCTAAGAAATTTATTTATGAAGAGAAAAGGGTATTTTCATATAGTTTCAATTAATAAGATTTAAATTACTAAAAACTTGTTCAATTAAATTGCATTACAATTATAATTTTCTTTTTTTATATGCATTATAAACAAAAAGTTTTAATGACTTTTCACATTTCCAACTGGTAGCCATTTATCTAGCTTAACTAGTTCCTCACAAATGTAAATCGACTATATTATATAATTTCACTCAATTCGTTTATAGTATATGGCAATATCTAAAATTTCACAAATAGCATTTCCTTAAACGATCCCCAATAACAAAGTTCACCAGCAATAAGCAGCAAGCAGCAAGCGTTTTCAGGGTCACTCAATCAAAATATACCGGAAAGATATGTATTTCATTAAACGGCCAAAATTTAATAAAAAGAAGCGTTAGATACAAAACATTTGCGTCACATTTAAAATTAATTTTATTTTATTTAAACTGAAACTCTGATAATCTCCCAAAGACAAACGAATACATTCACTTTATCCCATTCACTGTACCACCGTTCACCGTACACAATATTTTATTGATAAGATTTACCATTTAAATAGATATGCAAATGCCGGTAACATAATCATTTCAATACTAATTTTAAAAGCTCATTTCATTATCTCACAACAACAACAACAACAACAACAATAACAATGCGTATAGTCATAAAACTTATTTATAAATAATTTTTTTTTTAATTTTTTTAATTATTTCCATACAATAAGAATTATGAATGATTTGTAAAAATTTTGAAATATTTTTTATATACGTTCGATAAATTGAATTTAATTAAATATTTTATATTTTTTAAAGTATTTAATTTTTTTTTTTTTGTTTTAAGTTTAACCAACCTTCCTGATAAACAAAATATTGAGATACACTGATACACTACAAAAAATGAATGAATGCGTTCAACGGGTCCCCAGTTTTCGATGTTGAGCAGCGTCGAGCTACGAACTCAAACTGAACTGACGCAAAATCGCCTCAGACAACGCGAGTTACAGTGAATAAATTCAAATTCAAATTCAAACTGAAATGAATTATGTGCGCGCCTCATCATCAAACTACACTAGATAAATTCATACAATAATTTGATTGTTTACATTAAAATTCTAAAATTGGAGATGTTTATAAACACAATGGGGAAAGAATCCAGTAAATATATGCAATCGACGACAACAAGTACAGAGCCACGGCAACAACAATACACCAGATTCACTGGCGTTCAGATTCAGAACGTTCGATCCGCAGGATGCCACACATCGCGAACGAAAGCATCATTTTATAATCCTATTGGCAAATAATGGATGAAAAAAAGAAGAAGAATATTTAAGCCTGAATGCATATTATGATAATTATATAAACTTTATGAATATCGAATGAAGTGAATTCTATGTAGAAAATACCAATAAACCTGAACTAAGCAAAACAATACAGATGAAATATATATATATATATATAGAATTATGTATATACATATATAATTTATGTTAGATATTAAAATATCTAGTTTTTTACTTTAGTTATTTTAACAAAAACAAAAAATGTATTAAAACATGTACAATATACGTAAGTGCAAGAAATATAGATCAGAAATCCATTTACACAGACACATCCTCCCGCATGGTTGGGTGGTTTTGTATTGCTAAAACTTCTTCTTCAATCTAAATACACTTACCGGATAGGCTCTATTTTATTACCACATATCCGTCTAAAAAAATTTTGTTTTTTTATAACCAAACTGAGCAATTGATTAAGGGAACTATTATTTAAGGGAATTGAGTTTATTATTAGTAAACTAAAACCTAGCAAGAAAAAAGTGATCATTTGTTCTGACAGCCTCTCATTTCTAAATGTCGTAAAAAACCACACGGCCACTAATACTCCGATTAAAAGAAAAACTACTAAGTACCAAAAATGTGAAGTTATTATATACCCCA